TCTGGATTTGGTTTGGAGTTTTTTTCTGGCTTTTTTTTTTTTTTTTTGAGACAGTGTTTCTCTTTGCAGAACTGGCTGCCCTGGACTCACTCACTTTGTAGACCACCACACTGGACTCAAACTCTCAGGGTTCCACCTGTATCTGCCTCCCAAGTGCTGGGACTATAAGGCATGCATTGCCTTTAAAACACTGGCTGGCTAACCTCAGTCGCTGCACACAGATCTCTTGAGCAGTATGAACTGTATTTTGTGATTTACGAAAAGCAGACCGTGGCCTGCAAGCCTGTTCTGTCAGTCCTTCTCAGAGCCTAAGGATCACTAACAGATAATCAATAAAAACTGTTGCTGAAATGTCACCATATGCTATATTCAGCTGCAATCAAGGTGCTGTGTTCCCAACTGATAGAAAATATTTTATGTTCTATATACTTAGAAATGAGGACTTATTCTTGGATTTCCATGTCTCTGCAGGACAGAATTTGAAGGAAACAAATCAAAGAGGTTGGAGAGGTGGCTCAGCAGTTAAGAACATTCACTGCTCTCGAAGAGGACCTAGATTCAGTTCCCAGTACCCAGATGGTGGCTTACAACCATCCCTAACTCTGGTTCCAGAGAATCCAATGCACTCTTCTGATTGCAGGGGCTTTGGGGACACTGTGGTGCACATAATCTCGTGCAGGCCAAACACCCATACACATAAAATAAACAATAAAAAATGATAGGACAAATGTAAAAAATAAAAAATAAATTAGCCAGGCCTGTTGGCACACACCTTTAATTTCAGCACTCAGGAGGCAGAGGTAGGTGTATTTGAGGGCAGCCTGGTTTTCTACAAAGTGAGTCCAGGATAGCCAAGGCTACCAGAGAAACTGTTTCCAAAGAAGGAGGAGGAAGAAGAGGAAAGAAAGGAAAGAGAGCGAGAGAGAGAAGAAAGGAAGAAAGGAAGAAAGGAAGAAAGGAAGAAAGGAAGAAAGAAAGAAAGAAAGAAAGAAAGATAGATTCTGGAGATGGCTCAGCAGTTAAGATAACTGGCTGGTCTTCCAGAGGCCCTGGGTTTGATTCCTAGCACCCAAATGTGGGCTCACTACCTTCCATAACTCAGTTCCAGGGTATCTGATGCCCACTTCTGGCCTCCTTGGGCACCAAGCATGAATGTGGTGTAGCTACATACATGCAAGCAGAACACTGACATACATAAAATAAAATAAAATTTTAAAAAAGAAGAAACAAAATAGGAAGGCATTGGCAAAGCCTTCTTAATAGAGAAATAAATACAAATTAAATTATTTGAGATAACTGTTAGTCACAAGTCTTGGTATGGTGTAGGCATAGGCCTGGGACCAACGACATAATATAACACCTCTCTGTTTCTCTGTCTCTCTGTCTGTCTCTCTCTCATACAAGTATAGAGTTAATTTTCTACTTATCTGTCTGTTTTCAGAGGACAATGGCTATTCACTGTTTATCTTTGATAACATCCTCAAAGAAAACAATGAATAAGCATTTTTTGGATGAATTCCTAATATCTACATGAGAACATAATTGCTCACCATGACCCAGGAAAAATATAGAAGGAGTGTGTTTTTTGTTTGTTTGTTTGTTTGTTTGACCTTATGGTTCCAGAGAGATAAGAGTCTATCATGGCAGGGAGACTAGGCTGGAAGCTGTAGAGGAATTTTAATTCAAAACATTGGCTGTCCTGGCAAGAGATTGCATCTGAAGACCTTCTAGGTCTGTGTGATCCAGCTGGAATACAAACATGCCTTTAATCCAGAAGACAGAGGCAAGCAGATCTGTTGTTATAAACATGGTTTTTGTTTTAATCCCAGGTGTGGGCTGTGGGGCTGACTCAGATGGTCCACAGCAGCAGACTGTTTGCCTCATGTGGGCTCTGAGAGGAGCTCTTTGCCAGCTGCAGATAGTTTGAATCTGAGGACTCTGGAGAGAGAATAAATGCCAGAGCTCAGAGAGTGAGGAGTTTGGAGAAGGAGCAAAGCTCCTGCTTCCCCCTTGCTGCTCCTGGTTGCTACTGTGAGACAAGAAGTTGGAGATCTCCTGAGAAAAGGACTGGACTGGCTCCAAGGAATGCAATGACTCTATCTGGCAAAAAGCAGCTAAGAAAGAGAACTGCATCCCCCTCCCATTAACCATTTCTCTTACCTGGCCTTGGGATGTTGGGAGGGACTGGGGTGGAGTAGAGAGAAAGATATAAGAAATGTAAATAGAAGAATTTTTTTTAAAAAGTATGCCAACACAGATCTGAGTTCAGGGCCAGCCTGGTAAAGAGCAAGTTTCAGGTAAAGAAAAGCTTAGGTCCAGACGTGTTGGTACACGCCTTTCTTTAATCCCAAACAATGAAAGTAAGTTAGTTTGTTGAAGAAAGCACCATGTTTGAAAGTTACGTCTGAGTGGCAGAAAAAAGTGACAAATCAGAGATTCGACAGAATAGGATATGTCCAACTTTCAAAAGAAGAAAGAGGAAACAAAAACTACTTAAGGGGTAATGCAGAGAAAGGAGGCAGTTTTACAGAGAGGTTGCAGAGAGAGAGAGAACAAGATAGACACAGGTGAAAACAAAATGAGCCAGAGAATGAGAAGGAGTCAGGAGATTAGAGCAGCTTGCTGGAGTTGATTTGAGCCCAAGCAGAGAAATTCAGAGGCTGAGAGAGTAGCCAGATTAAATTAGTCAGCTGGGAGAGTTTGAGCCAGAACAGCTGAGTTTAACCAGCCAGCCAAGAGCTCAGTAAGAAAAAGAAAGGGCAAGCTTATTCAGCACTAAGTCTCAGAGGCTGAAAACATTCTAGGCCCAGGTTAGATGGTATGGAGGCTAGAAGCTTCCAGGACTAGGCCTAGGTTAGCAGACAGAGATAGTAATCCTCCGAGGCAGCAACAGAAACAGGTGAATAAAAGTTCTATTTACAGCAAGCACCAGGCCAGAGGGCACCAGACTCCCTGACACTGGAGTCACAGGTGTTTGAGTTGTCTGATGTGAGTGCCAACCAGATCCTGTGCAAGAGCACAAGTGCTCCTAACCACTGAGCCATCTCTCCAGCCAGCCTACCTTGTTTTTGGGACAGGGTCTTTCACTGAACCTTATCACTTTTGCTAGTCCGGCTGGACAGTGAGTTTCAGGGATCTGCCCCTCAGTGCAGGGATTACAGCACTTCAGGGCCTGGCTTTTATGTGAGTGCTGAGGATCTGAACTCAGGTCCTTGCACTAGTCTGGCAGATACTTTGTCACCTTCTTCCTAGCCTTTCCCTTGGAGTTTTAACTAGCATTGTATTAATTTCACGAAGGATATTTCCATATATGTATCTAAGTATGCTTTGATCATCTCGTTATCCTTTCTTTTGTCCTTCTACACCCCACTTTGCCCTTCATCCCTGATAACCCTCCTTTTCCATTCAGATTCTACATATGACAGAAAATATGTGATACTTTGTGACAGTGGCTTACTTCACTTGATATGAACTCCTGTCCCATGTATTTTCCTGCAAATACATGACTGCATTCTTTCTTTTATGTGCATTGGTGTGAGGGTGTCAGACACTTGGAACTGGAGTTACAGTTGTGAGCTGCCATGTGGGTGCTAGGAATTGAACCTGGGTCCTTTGGGAGAGCAGACGGTGCTCTTAACCACGGATCCATCTCTCCAGCCCGATGACTGCATTCTTTACAGACAAATAAAATCCCATTGTACAAATATTCAGAATTTTAAAATAACTTTATTTTTATGTGTATTGGTGTTTTCCCTGCATATAGGTATGGCTAAGACTTTCAAACCCTCCGGGACTGGAATCAGAGACAGTCGTGTGCTGCCACGTGGGTGCGGGGAACTGAACACAGGTCCTCCAGGAATTGCAGCCAGTGCTCTTAACCGCTGAGCCATCTCTGCAGCAGCAGGAGTTCTTTGTTTTGAGATGCGGTTTATCTGTGTGGGAGTGTGCCTCTACAGCCCCGGAAAAGGCAGGACAGGAAGAACTGAGCTCTTAATTGCTTTCAACAAAAAGTAACAGAGTCCAGGTGGCTTGCTCCAGGATGTCTATCGTGTTTGCAAGGTGTGAAATACACTTAAGTCTCCTGGACCTAGTCAAGTGTCTGTCTTTGGTCTGTCAAAGTGATGAAGATCAGGTGGTCAGAGGCCCTAGGCTTGAGACCAGGTGAAGCTCCCGCCCAGATGCAGAGCTTTGAGTGCGGAGGAGCACCATTAACCCGTTTACAAACACCTCTAGCAAGCGAAGAGAGCCAACTTTAGGAAAGGACTAACCATTAAACTGGCACTATTTCGTCAAAGCCATAGTTTCCTGGGGCATCTTCAAGAATGTCTTAAGTAACTGGACTTTCGGAACTGCGGGACTTTCGGAGCTACTGGAGGGACAGAGCCCTCAGGGCTCTGTCATCTTTTCGGCAATTTTAGATCTTTGGTACTTTCACCACCTCGGCAGTTTCCGGAATTGCTCGGCGTGGACTCGAGAACGTCGCCCCCTGGCGGCGGCATTCGGGAAGGGGGCCTGCGAGCCAGCGCGCGCAGACGCAGTTGAGTCCCGGCGGCGGTTCAGACCGGACGTGGCTGCCCCTGAGATCACTTCCGGCCGGGTGACGGTGCGGACGGGTCAGGAGCGTAGAGGCGGCGGCAAAATGGCGGCGCCTGAGGAGCAGGATCTAACTCAGGAGCAGACCGAGAAGCTGCTGCAGTTTCAGGTAGCAGCGAGTTCTCGGTGCAGCACAGGCCGCCGGGGCGGGGGAGTGGGGCCCCGGAGGAGCGCAAAGCCTCCGTCAGGTTGGGCTTGGGACCATTTTCAGACCGGCAGGCGGCCCCCTCCCCCCAGACGCCAACTGCCCGGATTTCCCCGGCCCCGACCTCTGTGGGTCCCCAGCCTGCCACCGCCGCAGCCAGCCAGGCTCGACCACAGTGGGCCGGCTGCCTTAGCTTCCCCTGGCGGCGCGGGCCCGCGGCCCGGCCAGCCCGCCAGACCCTCTCCGCCCACCGACTGTTGATGTGTAGAGGTCCTAAACCCCCGTCGCGGCGTCGGGCCGCGCTCCGGAGCGCCGACCACCGGCCCCGGGTCCCTGGCTCGCCGGGGCTCGCGGTGGGGGCTGTGGTGGGGAAGGAAGCACCTCCACCCAGACCTGGCACCTGCGCTAGGAGTGTGGCAGGACGGCACGCGCGGAAACAAGGCGACATTAAGTTCTCCTCGCTGGCTTCTGACTGGATTTGTTACCTTCGGCCTTCTCCTGAGCTGCAGACTGTGCTTCAGGAGGGTGGCAGCTTGCAGGACTCGGCCTCCTCTTAGTGGATGTTATGTTAACAAAAAAAAAAAAAAAAAAAAAAATGGCACTAAAGCACCCAGCCGAGGCGGAGGGTCTGGTTGGAGGAGATCACCATTCCCGCAGTCCTTAAAAGCGTGGCTGTGAAATGTCTATTCCCTTGAGGGTGTTGTGGAAGTAACTGAGTTTCTGGATGTTACAAGGTATTAAAAGGACTTTGTAAACAGTAAAATGTGCCCAAACAGTTGCGGCTATCAATCATCATTTTTCAGATAAAGTTAATATAACTCATTTTCTATTAGGAAATGTGCTAAATATATTCCTTTTCAGCAGGTTTTTTTGTGTTTTTTTTTTTTATAATGAGAAATCGTAGTGCCGGACATTGCTAGCTAGAACACTGCCCACTAAATATTTATGCTTTGAGAACGTGACTGACATTTGTCATGTTACCTTGTTTAACGGAAAGCCCTGTGGCGCTGCTGCTGTGACCGGCTGTGTCTGAACTGTAGGAAGTAGCCCTGGTGGTGTCCTGAGACTGCTCTCAGGGGACTCAGGAGGATTCTGAGTTTGAGGCCACCCTTTTCCAATGGAAAGGACGCTCGCTTTATGCTTAGGTGTTGGATGTGTATGAGTGGGAAAATACTGTTACAGGCATGCTTGACGTTTGAGTGCGGCTCACAATAGAGAAATTGATGACACCAGATTAAAGAATGAACAGACAGTTTCACTTCTTTATAAACTGCTACTTCCAGGACTGTATTTAACTTGGGTAGGGACACTTCGCAGCAGCTCTTAGTGGTAAGCTGCGGAGGAAATGAGGTGTGAGCTCTTAAGTTGTGATGCGCTTAGAAGTACATGCGAATGTATGGCAGTGCTTGTGCGATAAAGTGCTCAAGGACCTTGTCCTCGATGGACATCAGCACAAGAGACGGGCTAGCAGGCTAATGACACTGTAGTAAGATTAAATAAGTGTGTGTCAAGATTTTTGTTGTTTTTTCCCGAGACAGCGTTTCTCTGGCTGTCCTGGACTCATCCTGTAGACCAGGCTGGCTTTGAACTCGGAGATCTACCTGCCTTTGCCTTCCTGAGCCCTGGGATCAAAAGCTTGGGCCACCGAGCCCTGATGTCAAGATTTATGAAGTTGACTTTATTTAGAAAGTGCATTTTGTATTGAGCAAGCCTGGGGTCAGATCTATCATCTCAGACTGCTGTTAAACATTGTGTTGACATATTTAAATGTCAAGCATTATAACCTTAAACTTTATAGAAGACTGTAAAGGGTTAGCTGCCATTCTCTTATTGCTGAAGAAAACAGGTATGAGAGGTCAGATAATTCACACAAATAGTACCTTGCGTAAACTTAGAAATCCACATTCCTAAGGATCTTGTTTGTGTCCTGATGTTCAAGCCAGGGGACGTAACATGAATAATGGGAGTGCCCAGCTCTCTGGGATGTGTGTAGGATGTGTCTTTTGTCTTTGTAAACTTACTGATTTTGGAGGGGGAAGGAAAGATGGCTTAGAAGTTACTATTTGTTACCTGCTATGCCGTATTGTGATGTTAGCTAATTTATAACCAGTATGTTTAATCACATGGTTACCTTATAAAGTACAAATGGTGGTATGCCTGCTGTTCTGTCTGGTGAAGAAACAGATCTGTTGATTTCTTTGCCCAAGGTACTGAAGCTCTTGGAAGTCTAGTAGGTCTGGCCTGAAAGGCTAAGCTCTTAGCACAGTGCCTTGCAGCTTTGCAAAAAGAATAGAATTTCAGCAGATGGTGGGCAGGGGAATGTTCAGAGCTGAGAAGATGGGTTGCTCACCTGTGGAGACGGGAAAGAAAGTGTGAGTGTGACTGTTGTAATAAATAGACTTGGTGGTGACAAGGTAAACCAGAGCCAGCTTTGTCAATGCTGTGCTCAGTTCTGTAGGCACACAGTCATGAAGGTTTAACTAGGGAGTAACAGCACCAGTTTGGGGTTGGCTTCTGTAGCAATACGGGGCATATACTTAAAATTTCCATTTTAAGTATATCAGAATAGAACTATCAGAATAGAACAGGATGGCACTGTTGACAGCGAGTTTTCAGTGTGTGTCCACATGTGTTACACTTGAGCCAGGCATGGTTCACTGTAATCTCAGTGCTAGCACTTGAGAGGTTCAGTTAAGGAGGTTGCTATAGGTTCAAGGACAGCCTGGGCTACTTAGTGAGTTTCAGGTTATCCTATAGGGTGAGACCTGTCTCAGAAATCCTAAGTACTTGAACTGGTAAAAGAGAAATGTTTTAGGAAGCCTGAGATTTGTGTTTTTTTTGTTTATTTGTTTCTGACATATAAACAGTCCTCTAAGGCAGATTTATCATGTTTCTCAGTCCATTTGATGATTTAAGGCTTTTGTGTGTGAGAGAGAGAGAGAGAGAGAGAGAGAGAGAGAGAGATTGATTCTCATGGCTCTGGTTTGTTTTGGAACATTGTGTTTTGAGCAATTTGTTTTTGGGGGGGGAGGTTTACAAGACAGGGTTTCTCTATGTAACCTTGGCTGTCTTGGATGCTTGGTAGACCAGGCTGGCCTACAAAACTCAGAGTGATCTGCCTGCCTCTGCTTCCCTGAGTGCTGGGATTACAGACTTGGGCCACCACACCCAGCTATTTTGAGCTATTTCTACTAGAAAATAATAGGTTTATAAATCTAAAGAAGAGCTAATGCAGATATGTGGAAGATTACTTTTATTGGAGTCAATGTCCTCAAATTTCCAGATATGTAGATTTCTCCAGTGCTTTGGTTTACTGCCTCAGGGCTGGTGTTTTAACATCAAGGAAGGGATGTCAAGGTCAGAGGAGTAAATGTACCACAACCCATAGGAGGAAGTGATCTCTTTCTGCTTGTACAGGAACATGACATTTTCCACTTTAATTAAAATGTGTTGCATTTTTGTTTACTTAAATTGTGTAAGTGTGGGGACCACGAATGCCATGACATATGTGGAAGTCAGAAGACAACTTGTGAGAGGATTTCAACCCTCTTGCCATATGTGTTCTGAGGATTGGTGAATCCTCAGGTTATCAGGTTTGTCAGAAAGTGCCTCCACCGCTGAACCATCTTGTCAGCCCTGTTTGTTTATGAGAAAGGGTTTCCCTGGGTAGCCCACATAGCCCAGGCTCACCTCAGCTACCACGAGAGGATAGAGACAACAAGAGTCTGTACCACACAGTAGGGCAAGACTCACAATCTCTAACTTAAAGCCTGGGCTCTAAGCTGTATAAGCAAATTTATAAGTAGTTTTTTCAGGATTTTCGTCTGGAAATTGGGGTTGTGATGAGTACATGGTAATTTGCATTCATTGACTTAAAAAAAAATCACAGTGATCTGTTTGATTTCTGATTTCTCTCTTCACCTTATCCTGGCTAAGGAAGCTAGCTACTAGTGGGTTTTACAGTCTCACTAAGTCTCAGTAAAGTCTCACATTGAGTGTGTGTGTGATGGGAACATTATATTATCTGATTGGCAGTATCCATTTTCTTTTTTATTCTTGAAACAAACAAGCAAACATACAAACCTATAGCTGTGTGGTAGTGTACATCTTTAATCTCATGACTCAGGAGGCGGAGGCAAGTGGATCTCTTGATTTCAAGGCCAGCCTGGTCAACCAAGTGAGTTCCAGGACAACCAAGGTTACACACAGAGAAACCTTGTCTCCAAAATCAAAAACAAAGACAGTCTTTTCTTTGAAAATGTCATACATGTTTACAGTGTATCTTTTCTTTCCTTCTGAGACAGGGTCTGTATGTAGCACTGGCTGTCCTTGTTCTGTGTAAACTAGGCTGACCTCAAACTTAGAGCTTCCCTGCCTTTGCCTCCTTCCTGAGGGCTGCCATATACAATATATCTTGATTGTATTTATGCCTTGTTTTCCCCTCTCTGCAGCCGCATTACCTTCCACCTTCACGACCTGAATTCAAGAGTGCTGCCTGCTGTAATACTGACATGTTGGCTTGATTTTGTGCAGGTAGTCTTTGCTGCAGTGAGTTGATGAGTGTAAGGCCCGTGTCATGTCCAGAAGACAGCATTTCACGCCCTCTTTACCACCCTTTGGCTTTTAGCAGTCTTTCTTCTCCCAGCTCTTCACTGTTTTCCTGAGCCTTGTGGGAGGAGGCAGTTGATAGAAATGTCCTATTTGGGGCTGAGCGTCTCAGGGGTTGGTGGTTATGAGTCTTTGTGTTAACTGATGACCATCTCAGAAAGAAGCTTCCCTGCCAAGGCTGAGAGCAGCACTGATCTGTAGATGTAAACAGACGTGAGAAAGCAGTCGGACAGCTGCTCTTTCGCAGCATAACACTAGTAGCTTTCCTCCCAGAGCCAGTCATCTCCTGAACCATGGGCTTTGACCAGCTTTACAGAACCAGGCATGATTTTTCCTCCTGTGGAGGAGGTCTCAAA